GGACCTTCATGAGTTAGTCCATGAATAGGTTTTATGGTATCAAGGTTTAGTGGTGTGTGCCCTTGGTGGTTGTTTAAGTAATCTTAATGGATTAGATGATCGAGTATGAATTTGGTTGAGTTTATCTTATACCTAGTGTCGAGGCGATGATAGAATCTTCCTTAGAGTAACCTAATAAAAATTTCGGGGACGAAATTCCTTTTAGGGTGGAAGGATTGTGACACCATAATTTTAAAGTCATTAAATTATAGTATCAGTCCTGGAAATCTCGCTTGAGCGAAAAAGGTGTCGCCTGGGCGAGAGTGGCTCACCTGGGTGAGTGAAATACTGGGCTATACTGAAGGATTCTCGCTTGAGCGAGAGGATCCTCGCTTGAGCGAGAGTTGTCTCGCCTGGGCGAGAAATGGCATTTTGGAACCTGTCGAGGCTGTGAGATTCTCACTTGAGCGAGAGAGCCAGATCTTAAATTTTAAAAAGGCAGGATTTTCTCGCTTGAGCGAGAATGGGCTCGCTTGAGCGAGAACCCGACGAATTCACATTAAAATAGAAACCCTCAAACACATTTAGGGTGAGAACTTGAGAGAGAAGAGAGAAGGAGGTGATTTTGGGAGCAAGGACTCGTGGGAATCATCTAGAAGCTTGAGAAGAGGTAAATCTCTTGATTCTAACTCTCCTTCTCCCTTTCAAACTCGTTTTAGGTGTATGGGATCTCTTCTTAAAATGTAAGAAACCATGGAAACTCTTCCTTTAGAGTTGATGTTCGTTTTATGTCGTTTTTCTCTTGTAAACTCTTGGTTTAGAGTTGGTATTTGATGAATTGAAAGGTTTTGTGGGTTATTCTTGAAAACCCCAAAACCCCCAAAATGAGAATGTGAGTAAAAGGGGAAATGGGTGAAATGTTAGATGTAGAAGATGAATATATGTTCTAATGTTGAAAATAAGATGAATATGTATGTTTTAGATGTTTGGGACCTATTAATGAAGGTAGTTTTGGAAACATTGAAAATGTATGAATCTCTTGTATGCTTAAAGATGAAATATGTGTTGTTTATGTATTATTGAGAATAAATGACTAACATTGTGTTATGTGGTGGGAATGAGGAAAGATCCTAAAGTTGGAGCCAGTGTCGGTGGAACTTGCGAAGTTACCAAGACCCAAACCCAACACTCACGAAGGTAAGGATAAGTCTTTAACTTGAATATTGTGATGGAAAATGCGTGGATTTTCTGATTGTGAAAATGAGTAAGTTGCGAGTTGCTTATTTCTTATAAACATATATGGATATGTTTGTAATTAAAGATTGCGTGGATCTATTGTTTGTAAATTGGTGGTGAATCAAGGAAAAGAAAATATATTTTTAGCCGACCATGAATGGTTAGCGACTTTGGCTCAAGCTATGTAGCGGTAATGAATTTACAATGTTTACTAACTCCTTTAAAATGTGGACTTTAGTTGAAATTACCTACCCGAAGTGGTAGTTGATCATTGGGAAAATTACCTACCCGAAGTGGTAGTGGATCATTTGGGAAATTACCTACCCGAAGTGGTAGTGGATCATTGGGGAAATTACCTACCCGAAGTGGTAGTGGATCATTGGGGAAATTATCTACCCGAAGTGGTAGTGGACCATTGGGGAAATTACCTACCCGAAGTGATAGTGGACAATTGGGGAAATTACCTACTCGAAGTGGTAGTGGATCATTGGGGAAATTACCTACCCGAAGTGGTAGTGGATCATTGGGGAAATTACCTACCCGAAGTGGTAGTGGATCATTGGGGGAAATTACCTACTCGAAGTGGAAGTGGATCATTGGGAATTTACCTACCCGAAGTGATAGTGGATCATTGCAGAAACTACCTACCCAAAGTGGTAGTGGATCATTGTTGAGTTGTGGGCTTACCCGTAGTGGTAGCAGATTATCTATGCAGTGTAAACGGCCGGATGTGGTAAAAATTAAGCTTGATGTCGATGGTAATTGATGGAACAAAAAGTATTTGAAATAAATGATTATGCATGCTATAGAATATATATTATGGGATATATATACTATAGGGTGAACATGAATGACCTGGAAATGAGTATGTTTGGATGAAAGGAATACGCATGCTATAGAATATATGTCATGGAATATATATACTATAGGGTGAATATGAGTAACATGGAAATGGAAGAAAGAAGATACAAATGTTTATATTTACATGTTGGTGATTATAATTTATTTCAATGCTTAATCGTATTTAAAATGTGGATTATCATGTAATGTTAGTCTTGAACTAATGACTTACTCCCTTGTTTTTGTGTGTTGTTTATGATAATCTAATTGTAGGTGAACGAAGGATTTGAGGAGGCTCACTTAGGAATTTTATGCGTTTCTTAACTTAGATATATCTATCTATACTTTTTGTATTATAGCTGACTAAATGCGATTTTGGGATAAAATTAATTCTGAGTATTGCAACACTGAATATGTGTAGTTTTGGGCAGTATGATTCTTGGAAACGTTGTATGCGGTGTTAGGTATCAGTGGTTACAATACACCTAGAAGGGGGGGGGGGGGGGTTGAATAGGTGTAGCGGTTAGAATGTCCGCTTTTCGAAAACAACACTTAATGCTGAAACACACCTTGATTAATCAATTAACGAAACAGGGTAATCGATTAACACTTTCAACACAGTCCACTTAATCGATTAACAGACTGAAGTAATCGATTAACACACTACACTTAATCGATTAAACCGTGACAGTAAGCAGATGCAAGTACAATTTCTTGCACGACAATTAATTGATAACGAAGCGATTATACAAAGCTTACAGAATTATCAGAGTAAAAACAATATAGTACAGAAACAGATTATCAATTAAATCTACTATACAAATTAATCGATCAAATGCAATAAAGAGAGAAAGGGATAGAAAAAGTCCTGCAACACGAATTTTATCCTGGTTCGTTTGCTTGTCCACCGCAAACTACATCCAGGCCTCCCGGCTGATTTGGGAGATTTTTCTTCACTATAATTGAATTAATGTTAATTGCATACACACTATCCAATTACAACAATTAGACACTTACAAGATAAAAAAGATCCTATTCTATGGTTTGACTCCCTTCCTACCGACAAAGAAAACCTTTCTTTCGGCGTAGCCCCAGCCAAGAACCTTTGTTCTTTACTTATCCCTAAGTCTAACACTCAGTGAAGACACACTCAATCTCTTGGTGATACGACATCTTGAGATTCCCAAAATTACAACACTTTTTCAAACAAAACAATACAGAGTAAACTTAAGCTATAACAAGACTTATATCTAACAAGATAAGGCTTTACTCTAATCACCTAATACAAGCTCATGCAGTATGAAAATGTATTAGTGAAAAACAGAATGCATAATATGTAAACATCTAATCAAGAATCATGTATAAAATGCAAGAACATGTGATAAGAAAAGATGAGAAATGTATCATGAAATGCACTCAATCCTAAAGCATAGAATTCTCTCTTTTCTAAACTCACAAATGCATTTACAACTAGATGGAACAATTAACACGAAAAAAATGCTCTAACTCTCTAAAATTTTAACATGCAACTTATGAGATCAATTCTGAAAATGCAGTTTATAAAGAATTGATTTTATAGCCCAGTTAATCGATTAACGACAGCTTTAATCGATTAAGCTTTACAAAAATGTTAGATTAATCGATTAACCTTTGTTGTAATCGATTACACTGTGCAAACAGTTAGATTAATCGATTAACCTATGCAGTAATCGATTAACAGCATTCTTTCATGTGTAAAAACTCAAATATGTTATGCACTTAAATTCATACATGTTTAATACTTAGATTATGCCTAGAATGCACATGTACATGTATTTATATGATGCATGAACATATTATGAATGACATATCTCAAGATGAAAAAGATTTAAAAGATTTATGCAAGTGAGATATGTATTAGGTGACTTAAGCCTTAGACTCAACCTAAGCTAATCTAGTCTAAGCAAGGTACCAATCGGAAGGCTTAAGCATGTTGATTTGTTGATGATCTTCAAGCTCTTATTAGCACAAGTTGTCCTCATCAAAACCATGACATATAAGGAGAGCTTTCCAAAGTGTTCCTCTTGACATGCACACTTTGATGCGGTAGTTACTAAGGATTAATTGAATGAATTATGTTTTTATGCAATAGGAAATGTATTGTAATATAACATGTTAAATAGGAGTTTTACGGAATGATTAATGAGTGATTAAAGTAAAATGATGAATGTATGCATGCAAATATTAAAATAAAGGAAAAAATTTCAAGGGTAGAATTTGGGTCCTTACAAATAACTTATATAAAATCAATGGATTCATGATAAAATCTTCCATAACATAATGTGCTTTTTATTACAAATTTTTTATTGATAAACTAAAGGGATCAAATGGTATAGTTCTTTTGTTGGTAAATTGGAGGATTAGAAACATGACTATTGCTTTCCAATTGGCTGTTTTTGCATTAATTGCTACTTCATCCATTTTATTGATTAGTGTGCCTTTCGTATTTGCTTCTCCGGATGGTTGGTCGAGTAACAAAATGTTGTATTTTTTGGTACATCGTTATGGATTGGATTAGTCTTTCTCGTAGGTATTCTTAATTCTCTCATCTCTTGAAGCTATTTACTCTACTTTAGGTCGTAAATTGAAATGACCCCCCCCCCCCCTGAATTTTTTCGGATTTTGAGGCACATTAAAATGGAAGGAAAATAGAATATTATATTCTCTATTAATATATATATTAGAATATGGTTTAAATATTCTATAAATATTAGATATTCATAAATATTTATTAGATATTCTATTACTACAATATCTAATAAATATTTATAGAAGTATTAGTAGATTAATATATAATTAATATATATAATATAAATTTTTTATATTTCAACTTACCCCTAACAGAGTATCAGACCTAGCTTTGCACAAATCGAATAGATATATTACTTATTGAGTACTACAAAAAATATGGATATTGTCGAATGGTAAAATTTCTCTTGGCCAAGTAGACGACGCGGGTTTGATTCCCGCTATCCACCCCTAACTTTTTATTTTGTATATATTTAATTTAGATAGTAAGTCTATAAAATTTGATATAGTTTACGGGGATAGTCTAAGTAGAGTATTTCCCTTTATTCTTGAACCTCCGTTCACGGGATTTGAACCCGTGACCTCAAGGTTATGAGCCTTGTGAGCTACCAAACTGCTCTACCCCACAATCAAGAAAAGAGAAGAATTAAAGCTAATGGACAAGTGAAGATTAATGGTACCCCTCCATCATATCTGTAAAAATAGAATAAATCATTTATACAGAATGGTAAAGGACCCTCCTATGATCGATGATCATAAAAATGAATAAAAAATGACGATAATTTTTTATCCTTACCAACTCGATCTTGTTGCACCAGATAACAAATATCCATGAATCATTTCATGAAGTATGTGTCCGGATAATCCAAGGTCTCGATAATTAGCTATCGGTCTTCCATTCGAAAAACAGCGTAGATGAAGATGCGTAGGTGCACTATTACGGGGTAGTGATTTTATATTTCCATGAATTTCCCATTTATCAATTAACGACGGAACTTTGCTTATTTATTTTTTTGAGGATAGGCGAATCAAATGATATTTCTGTTAACCAAAAAATGATGATCGTCTCACGCGCTCATAAGATTACCTAAAAATCTGTTTTTGAGAGTCATCATTCTTTATTTTAGTAGGTTGCATCAAAATTATATTTTCTACTAAAATCATGCATCATACTAAGTATCTTTTTAGAGGGTTACCTCTTAAACAAGAAAACTTATAGTTTCTGACTGCACACTCCCATTAATCGATTAAGAGGAATTTTTAATTGATTAAACAAAGTTCTAGTAGCTTTGGGTTTTTGGTTCTTGGAAGTAATAATCGATTATGTCTTTCATTAATCGATTATGTTCAACATAAATGTACTAATTTTCAAACCATTAATCGATTAAGAGGTCATTTAATCAATTAAATCTGTTGAAACCAGAAAACTATAAATGACTAAGTTTCTCTCACAATTGGAATAACTTACAAACTTTCAAAATTTTCATAACTTGATTTTGAGCTTTAATTTTCGAAATCCCAAGTTCCTTGTGTGATATTCACTTGTTCTTCATTGTCAAATCTTGAGAGAAAAACCCTTGCTTTGTAAAAGGCATTCTTGGTTTCTTGTTTAGCAAAAACAAAGCTTTTTCAAATTTGTGCAAGTTTGAGTGCACCAATCCTTGTTTCAATCCTCAGATTTATCATACCCTTGTGAGTGTGTGTGAGTAGACCATCTTTTTGGGTTGATAGTGGCTTGTGTAAGCCAAAGAACTCTTCTTTAAGAGTTTCTTTCAAAATGCTTGTTTTCTTGTAAACTTTGGTTGTAAGTCTCTAAGGTTTAGAGAAAGTTGTAATATCGGCCAGCTGCGGTTGGTTGGATATAGTCTTCACTGGGTATCTTGTTTGGCGTATCAAGTAGCAAGATTGGCAACCGTTTGCAAATGGAGGGAAGTCAAGGCTTGACGAAATAGGGTTCGCATAGCAAGTAGGAAATGCTCAATTTGGAAGTGTGTGTGTAAATAACATTTTCAAATATAGTGAAGAAAATCTCCCAGATCAGAAGGGGAGGCCTAGATGTAGTTTGCCAGTGGACAGGCGAACGAACCAGGATAAAATTTCTTGTTCTTCTTTCTCTTTCCCTTATCTTTTTACTGTTTTCAAGTATATTAAGTTTCTTGCTATTCTTTATCTTGAAAGATTGGATATTTGTTAGTAAAGATTGAGTCTTTGATATCCGTCTAATTGTTGTGTGCTGTTTATGATATAATAGTGTGAATTTGCATGATTCTAGGATAACTTGGTTAGCTAGAAACCATATCTTTACAAGCTGTTGTTTTTGGTTTTTCTGCTCCAGATAATCGATTATTACAATTCCTTAATCGATTAAAATAGTCACAGACAATCGATTATATTTTAACTTAATCGATTATTGCTGAATAATTTTGTGTTTCTTGATTCTCTACGCATATATTCGAAAAGCGGACATAGTAACTGCTTACACCTATTCACCCCCCTCTATGTGTTATACTCTGATTGACCAGTATCCTAATATGTGGTATCAGAGCTAGTACATCGGTGCTAGCTTAACCGCTTCAATCGTTGATCCTTGGGAAATCATACGATGGGCTCTGCCAATCCTTTTGGCGGTGATGGTGCACCCATTAATCGTCCACCGATTTTCAGTGGCGAGGTGTACGGCTTCTGGAAAGTGAGGATGAGAATCTTCATAAAAGCCATTGATACGGACATTTGGGATTCCGTTATGAATGTTCCTTACACACCACTATACTTAGTGGAAGGTGAGACGAAAGATAAACCTAAGAACATGTGGACTGATGATGAGAAAAAAAAAGTGCAACACAATTTGAAAGCTAAAAACATCATCACGTCCGCACTATCTTACGATGAGTTCTTTCGAGTCTCACAGTGCAATAGTGCCAAAGAAATGTGGAACACTTTACAAGTGACTCATGAAGGCACTAGTGAGGTCAAGCGCGCTAGATTGAATGCTTTAACTCATGAATATGAACTGTTTCGCATGTTTCCAAATGAATCTATTGGCGATATGCAAAAGCGTTTTAGTCATATTGTAAATCATCTAGTTGCATTAGATAAGAATTTTTCGAAAGGAGAATTAACTAACAAAGTCTTAAGATGACTTGACAGGAACTGACAGCCAAAGGTGACTGCTATCATGGAATCAAAGGATCTTGATTCGATTGCGTTAGCAACTCTATTTGGCAAGCTCCAAGAACATGAGATGGAGCTTGGTCGCCTGACCTTACAAGAAGAATCAGACAAGCGTAAAAAGGGAATATCACTAAAAGCATCCACTTCTCAGGACAAAGAAGACAAGGATGATGATGAATCTGATTCAGAAATCGACACTGAAACCATGATGCTTCTCGTACGAAAATTCAAAAAATTTCTAAAGAAGAGAGGAAGCTCAAATAGGTTTCAAAAGAAAGAAACTCGCAACTCGACCTTCAAACACAAGAACTCAAAAAGAGAAGTTCACGTGTCATGAATGCGGCAAAACTGGACATCTGAAGTTTCAATGCCCAATTTATCTAATGAAAGTCGATGGCGAGAAGAACACCTCTCGGGACTTCAAGTCCAAGAAATCATACATCGTTTGGGATGTCCCTGAAGAGAGTTCAACAACAAGCACCTCTGAAGAAGAGGAAACCGCAAAGATCTCTCTAATGGTGAAGGACAATGAAGCTAGTACGTCTACTAAGGATAGCGAACTAGATGAGGTAACTTACCTACATATGATGAACTGTATAATGCTTTTGTTGAACTGCATGAAGAACTAAAGAAAGTAGCCAAAGTAAATGTTGATCGCAAGAGAATTATTTTATTGCATGAAAATAAAATTGCTAGCATGCAAAAAGAAATGGATGAACTTAAAATTGAAAATGAAACTCTTGATCTCATTTACTCTAGTGCTTCATGTATGTGTTCTACTAAAGTTATTGAGACTCCTATATGTGAAACTTGTTGGGAACTGAAAATGGAAAATGACGAACTGAAAAACAAAATAACAAAGTTCACATACAACAGTCAAAATCTTAACCGATTACTTGCTTCATCAAAGAATATAGGAAATAGAACCGGTCTCGGGTTCAAACATAAAAGCAAAAAGAGACCTTTTAGAAAGCATGTAGCTAGTAAATCTATTGTGGTGTTCATGGTCACACATCTGGCTCTTGCTATATTAAACGGCACAGAGTGCCAAGTGGCAAGTATCTGTGGATAGCCAAATGTGCACCAGATTCTGTTACTAACAAGAAAGGACCCAGCATAACTTGGGTACCTAAAAGTAAGTAATTTGTGTCTTGCAGGTATGTCTACGAACACTCGGATAACACTGATATCTCGACAATGGGTGTTCTAGACATATGACGGGTGATAAGTTCAAATTCTTGGATCTTACACTCCAAGACAAGGGTTACGTCACTTACGGAGACAACAATAAAGGAAAGTTCCTTGGAATCGGAAGAGTGGGAAATGCCTCTCAGGAAATTGTGGAAAACGTGCTATATGTTGAAGGCCTGGAGCACAACCTACTCAGTATCAGTCAACTATGCGATATAGGTAACAAGGTATCTTTCGATTCTGACCTTTGTATTATCCGTGATGGCGTAGACGATAATGTTAAGTTCGTCGGTCATCGAACTATCAATATCTATATGGTTAACTGGACAATATCACTTCTCTATTTTCAAAATGCTTACTTCAAATGAGAATGATATTTGGACCTGGCATAGAAGGTTAGCACATATCCATCAACGACATGTGGAAAAGATAGTGTCAAAAGAGCTTGTTGTAGGACTGCCAAAATTAAATTTCAAAACTAAAGATATTTGCCACATCTGTCAAAGGTGTAAGCAAACGAAAAATTCTTTTTCATCTAAAAATGTGATTTCCACTACAAGGCCATTAGAATTACTCCACATGGACTTGTTTGGACATTCACAAATAATGAGTTTTGGAGGCAGTCATTATGCTCTAGTGGTAGATGATGACTTTTCCCGGTTTACATGGACTATGTTCCTACCTTTGAAAAGGGACACTTTTAAAACTTTTAAATCGCTTGCCAGGAAATTGCAAAATCAATTTAACCATAAGATAGTGTTTATTCGAAGTGATCATGGTGGTGAGTTCGAGAATCACCACTTCGCCAAATTCTGCGATAAACATGGCATACACCATCAATTTTCTGCTCCTCGCACCCCTCAACAAAATGGAGTTGTTGAGAGGAAGAATCGCGTCTTGGATGAGTTAGCTCGTGCCATGCTGAATGACAACAAAGTGCCCAACGGTATACCACCACTAATAAACACCGAAATAGGCAATATTCACTAGGCCAAGAGCATCCCCTCGAGTAAAAGCTTCTACACCCGGTTGACCAAAATGAGCATCTCAAAATTTCCTTGCCAAACTACATGAAACAGATTCCCGGA